GATTAGCAGCATGAGCCTCTGCACCTGTCCTCTAGGAAACATTAGAAAAAAAATACTATGTAAATCTTGGAATGTGATTCCATGTTGCCTAAATAGTAATATATGACAGATTTATAAAATGTTGACACTATTTTAAAAATTTGATGTTAGGCATATCATATAGATTGTACAAATATCTTCAGATTTTACAAAATACATTTTAACTCTCAATATACCAGGAAAAATAGTCATCACCATTTATTATCTAGTTCCAATGAGTCTTAAATCTATTAAAAATGTATTTTAAGTTATTTTTTGATTAATTTACAGAAGTATAAAGTGGTAGTTAAAAAAACAACGTTATTAGAAAGTTTTAGTATGTAAACATAGTAAAAACAAATTTCATATTTTCTTGGTTTTGAAGGTATATGTTCTTGAAATGGGCAATGTCCATTGAATTAACTGTTTATTATTGCCCACCATGATTGAACCTGGGACACATCCATTCTGTAAATAGTGATTTCAGATCTCAAATACATTTCTGTTAGGTTCTAGTATATCATTATTTCTGGTCCTTCTGGTACTTGCATTGCCGAAATGAAATACTTTTTAAAACTTTGACATAGTTTTGTGGAAGGATGGCAATAATTTTTCATTTCTACATCATTTAATTGCTTTCAATCACCTTTGTACACATAGCTGTCTTTGATGTTTTTCAATATAGAAACTATATCAAGTAAATTTTGGTCATTAACATCATAAAGGATCTACGAATACTGTCACAATAACCATTCAGCAAAATAAGGTGGTTCAAGCTTGGGTCACAACATGTTGATTAAAGCATAATTAAGCTTTTCCTATTGAGTACATGGGTGGGAATACTGTCTTTCCTTGTTGTCCTTAGAAATACCTGGGTTACTCATCCATTCTCAAGTCTGAAAAAGCTCATTCAGAATATGCATCCTTAGGCTCAGAGCCTGAGATTTTTGCTTACATGATCAATTTCACCAGCATCATTAGGTTCTAGAGTACTGCCCTCTCTCTTTATATTCACCTTGATTCTGTAAATAATTGTGAAAATTCCTGTTTCTTCAATTTTCCATTATGGGCAAAAAATGAAAAATTGGGAATTCTCAACTATATTTACTAAAAGCTATTTTTTAAAAAAAGAGTCTAAAAATGGCATCTCTCCAGACTTTCGGGTTTTCTTTAAAGATGATGGAATCCTTTGGGAAGTGCTATATAAAAACTGAAGGATGATATAATAGTGGTCATTTATTTTTCTAGTACATTATCCTTTTAGGTGATGCATCATTATTCCACTTCCTTATTATTTTAGTCTTTCTTTTTTAGCGTAGTTGGGAATAATTGGTAATAAATAATTCCTGGGAAAATGAAATAAAATGTTTCAAAGGATATAGGAAAAATTAAAACATTAAGGTCCCATAATGTATCTCAGATTTATGAGTCCAAAGAACACATATGGGAAAAGAAAAATAGGCGTTATATTCCATTTTTCAAAAAGAAAATTTTCTCTTTGTCATTTGGAGTATTTCTAAGAAAGAATAAAAGTCATGGAACATTAATTCTTGTAGTTAGAACTGCTCAAAAAAGAAACCCTGAGCTAAAATTCTGTTCAATAGACCTGGAGGCACACAAAATGTTTCAGTTAATGTCACTGGGAAAAAACCCAAAAAACCAAAAAAGTTGTTTTTTTTTTTTTTTTTTTGAGACAGTGTCTCAAGCTATTACCCTGGGTAGAGTGCTGTGGCGTCACACAAAATGTTTCAGTTAATGTCACTGGGAACAAAAACAAAAAACAGGTTTTTTTTGTTTTTTTTTTTTTTGAGATAGTGTCTCAAGCTATTGCCCTGGGTAGAGTTGCTGTAGCATCACAGCTCACAGCAACCTCAAACTCTTGGGCTTAAGTGATTCTCTTGCCATAGCCTCCCAAGTAACTGGGACTACAGGCTTCTGCCCAAACACCTGGCTATTCTTTTGTTGTTGTAGTTGTCATTGTTGTTTAGCAGGCCCTGGCCAGGTTTGAACCCACCAACCTCAGGTATGTAGCTGGTGCCCTACCCACTGAGCTATGGGCACCGCCAAAAAAGAAACCCCCCCCCCCACCACCAATAAAGGCCAACTGTATGTCTGCTGTTCTAGTCAGGATTCCCAGCCCAAGCTCTTGGTTGGATGTGCCCTCCATTCCTTAAAGGGCTGGGCAGATGTGGCTATTTTTGTTTTTGGAGATCCTACCACTCAAACCACAGGTAATTGTTCCAGGTTGGATGGTTGACCTTAGTTAAGAATATGAATTTATCTTCTTCCAGATTTTGAATCTTAAGAAACAAACAGGGGACACTGGTGCCAAACAGGTCAGAAACTAGCAACATCATGGAGCTGGATGCTTTGAGGATGCCTAAGTTACAAGGAAGCAGGAAGATGTCTTCAGAGAAGCCAAGGAGATAAAACAGATGTATAGGAGTCAGATGCTGTGGCCCAGTGAAGGATGAAGGGTGATAAAACCTGGCTAACCCTCCTGCAATTTGGATTCTTCCCATTCTTTATAATACCTCTTTATTTTAGAACTGATTTCTATTTCTTGAAAACAACAATTCTCTAAAGCACAAATTAGTATCAGGAATAGGACTTCTGGAATAACAGATCCTGAATGACCATGGAAAACTAGTTATGGATAAAGCAAAGAGAGAAAAATAAAGATTAGGGGTGGGGATTAGATAGAAAAGATCCCCTATTCTTTGAAAAACTGGTATTTTGGAGTGAGTGATAATATAGCTAAACATTTACCAAAATCCTTTGGGACCCAAACCATACATTCAGGTTGTTTAGCTAAAAACAGGGAAAAGCAGGAATTTATGTTTCATAAAAAGAAATCTTTTCTGCTGAGATTACTGAAGACCAGGTCCAGATAGTATTCATGAGTTTGAAAAAGCTTAGGAGCCTACAATTGAAGTGAGAGTTATCAAAGGGTAGCCATGCTAGTTTGGGAAGCCCAACCCTGTCCACAGTATAGACATGCTAGTGCCCAAACCCTTGTAAAACACTTCCACGGACAGGAATGTGTCCTGTGGAGGGAGAGGTTTATAGGGGCAGGCTAGGGAAAATACACTTTCCAGTCCCTTCCAGCACAGCTTTTAGTAACCACTTGTCCTCCTTTACTCTCTCCAAGGACAAGCCCATTAGGAAGAAACAATGGGGATAAAGAGAGCTGATTAACAAAATCCTTAAGGAATGGTCATTAGGCAGCCTGGTGATTAAGGGAGCAAATTTACCCCACAGAAATTCCTAGCATCACCTTTCACACACACTCAGAAAGACAATGATTGAAAGCCCACTAGAGTTCTGGGGTAGTTAGCACCAGAAGAACCTTAGTCTTGAACAAGTCCCTCTACCAACTCATGTCAACATGGTGTTGAGTCCTGGCCTCTTCTACAGGCACCAGACTCAAGTAGAAAAAGACCCTGGCACCAGACAACAATTACTGAAGTGCATAGAAGACTCCAGTGTCCCTCACAAGAGCAGGCCTGAAGGACAAGGAGAAAGGAAATCCTTCTAATGGGCAGATCCTGTCAGACATGACTTAGGAACTTACTCAATTACCAAGGCAAGCGTCAAAGAGATTCATAGATAGCATTCATTGGCCTGGACCAGTGACCAGTACATGATCTTGTTTTCTAATTTTCTTTCCCACCTCTAAAGGAACCTCCTTTTCTGATAATCTTTATTAATGTCCCTACTGTATTGCTGGTGTGCTGGTAGTAAAATATGTTACTAAATCTGGAGGCCTGGTGAGCACATGGACCAGATGGAGATTAGGGGGCAGACACTTGTAGCGGCACCTATAATACTGTCTGCAGAGATGAAATACAGTGATAGAAATCACCATAATTAGTAGAAATCAACCTAGTCTACATCTTTGGAATGATTCCAAAGCCTCTATTTTGTACCAGTACTACAATTTCAAGGCTGCCACAAACAGTTGTACAAGGTAGTGTGTATATTGCATATTCCTATGAAGAGGTCTTGCCCCTTTATCCTGACCATAGCTGACTGATGTGCCTGATAACATGGAGTCAGATTTAATCACTGAAGAATTTGAACTAAGTGACACAAAGACTGAGATAAGTGGTAATCATTAGAGTTGTGAAGTCCCAGAGTTGGGTTCAGAGTTGCACCCCAGCAGCTCAAAAGCACGAACAAGCTGAGGCTACAGAGACAGGACTAACCTGACACCCACCCACCCCTCCGTGGGGAAGCAGAAATGAAGAGAAAGAAGCCCACGGAAAAAGAATAAAGTACGTGCAAAGATGATTATGTGCAGGACAAAAACAATAAGGAAACGACAGAAGGAGAGCAGAAGATAGTAGAAACAGCTTGGAGCAGTCAGAGACGTAACAGAATAATTGCTGGTGACTTTCTAGATCCCACAATATTTCACTATGCTCCCTTCAAGTAAGTTCCTCATTTCTGGTTGTATTTCACAACTCTTTTCTTGTAAATTTTATACATTAATTAAAATTTTAGGTAGATTTCAGATTCTTCCAACCAAACAATTCTTGACCTAAACAGCTGTTTATGAAAGACTCTTGACCTGACTATAGCTCATCTTTTAAATGTTTAACTTGCAATTATGGCAGTATATGCATTGTCTGATAGAACCAGAGTACTGTAAAGGTGAGGCTCTCAAGGGAGAGACATTATAATTTCTTTGAACCACCCAAACTGCGGTGCAAAGATAGACCTGACTTTACAATAATAGCTAACTAACATTGGGACAGACAAGTTTCAAATATGCAAGATCTCACGTATTATTCATAATAATCAATTAAGCAGGTTCTATTACTAATTCTATTTCACAGAGAAGGAAATTAAGTCATAAAAAGAGTTTAAGCAACTTGTTCAAGGCCACTAAGAGATCTCACAGCCAACTAAGAGATCAAGTAGAATCTGTTACCATCTGAAAAATAAATTTCACATGTGCGATTAAAATTCATTTCAGTCAGTAAGTTTTTATTGAATGCCTATTATATGCAAAGTACTGATTTAAACCAATAAGCTAGTTAACAGCAGTATTTTTAAGTCCTTTTAAATATCACTATCAAAACAAAATCTTCCTTTCTGTGGTCCACAAAAGGAAAAAGATGGACCTATTCTTCAATTTCCAAACACCTTCTTTAAAACAGAAGGGAATAAATTGCAACAATGCTATTTTCAATGCATTTGTTATTCCAAAACTCACTAGAACAGTTGTTCTAACCTTCCTAATGCCATGGCCTTTAATATAGTTCCTGTGGCCCGCGACCCACAGGTTGAGAACCGCTGCACTAGAATATCTGAAGATTACTTTCAGTAAGCTGGACTCATATGAAAATAAACCTTGACTTCACAGAGAAGTCTACATTGACAAATAGATATCGTTTAATTAATTACAGTATAAGTGATACACATTTATAAAAAAAGTAAAATGACAAGGATGAGAGTTTTTCATGGAAGGTGGTGAGTTGCCATGGAGTCTGCTTCTCTTGATTTTCTGAGGAGGGCTTGTTTGAGGGCACTAATTTTCTCATCAAGTTCAACCAATGAATAGTTCTGCTGTAAACAATAAGAACATAAATTGCTGAATAAGATTCTTAAGTATCTCAATGCAGATAAAGTGCTAAATGAACTATATTTAAAATATTCAAAAGCATGACAGATTTTTTTTTCCTCATAAAAATAATTTTAAAACTGAACTATATATTGCCTATTTCCAATTTAAAGGTACAATAACAAGGCTTAAATATTTCTTTTTCTCTTCTGAACCTTGTTTACTTTGAAAGAAGTGAAAACTTTCTTTAAAAACCTAACTACTTGCAATAGTAAAAAATAAACTAGGATTAGTATAGCCGCTTAAAATACCTAGAAATTCTCTTTGGAGGGATCCACTGCAATCAACTACTTCCCCTGGGAAAAATGGCTCACTCAAAAATTTATAATTTAAAAAAAGTAATATGCTACTCTTAAAAAATAAGCCAAAAAAATTTTTAAAAGCTTTCCCCATTTTAAATTTACACCAGCGCCTTTAAGGCTAGCAAAACCTTACTATTTAATATTCAATTAACTGATAAAGTAGTACTTTGGATGGGATGGGCTGAAGTCAAACTCTGCCAAACACCCTTTTTTCTTTAGATGCTGTTATTAGGTGTGCCCACAAAAGGGAGCAACGAGGAGACTGAAGTTACTTATTATTTTTAAGTATCTTATAAATGATACATTTTTCTAATATTCTATTAAAAAGCAGGATAAAGATTTTTATATTTATTCCATCTGAGTCATTCCATACCTTCAAAATAATTTCTCTAATCAAATATATTAGTTTATAATGTCTTTTTTCTAATCTTAAATCTTACCCAGGAATGACCCAAAAGCAACCACAGTAGAAGAAAAGTATAAAACTAAGCAAACTATTTCAGAAGCTACAGTGAAAATATAGTAATGTAACTCACTTGAGGTGGTTGAACTTTTCTTCTTTTTCCAGAAAAGTTCTAGATTAAAAGTAGAGGAAAAAATAAGTAATCAATGTTTAAAAAATCTAAGCATTGATTTTCCTTTATAGAATACTGTACAAAGTATGTGGAGCCTTTGAGAACCCCGACAGAAATAAAAACCACCGACCCACCAAGCATTATTTGCAATCAACATCTACCTCCTTCTATCTGGAAGCTGCCCTTGAACAGATGAGGACATTAAAATAGAAGTAATATTGCTGCAACAAGCTCACTCCGGGGCTCATGCATACATACTTTCTCATTAACCGCTGCTAATGAGCTGAGTGACTTTGGAAAGAGGTGTTCTGGAGACTTTCTACTTAGTTTCCTTTTTTAGAACCTTCCATTCCAAGATGTCAAACAAGTAAAACAGTGAAAGAAATGGAATTTTTCCATTTTTCCAGACCAGCACAATTATAATAGACACCACGTGTCTTTGTAAGAAGCTACGTGTCCACTGTTTCTCTATGTGACTCAACAGAGTAATACCCAATCATCTTGTCAGTGACCAAAATAGGCACAGGTCCAATTCTGGCCAATGAGTAAGGAGATTCTCCTGGAAATCAAGAGGAGAGCTTCCAGAAAAAGCTTCCCTCCTTCTTTCAAGAGAAAAGCCTTCAAAACAGTTTCTCTGGACACTGGTATCTGGATTAAGACACATGAAAAAGCTGTAGCCGTCTTGCCATTTGCCTGGGGAAGAAGCCAACACCAAGTAGACTGAGAGTGGAAGGACATTCTTTGACATTCACAATTTAGCCAATACATCAATTAAAACTCTGAAGATTGTACTACCAGTGGCCTTCCTATTTTATAAGATAATCTCCATACTGCTTAAGCCAATTTGAGTTCAAATTTCTTATAGCTGGATCTGTTGACATTCTCACTGACACACTCCTGAACCTTTTAAACCATGATTTAATAAATTCTTTCTAGACCACCACAAGCTTTTGAATGGCAAATTAGTAAATAAGTATATTGGACAAAGACACTGTTAATATATATGGCAACATTTTCTCTTGAGTATTTCTAAGCATTGAGATTTAGAAGAGAATATTAGAACTTATTTTCTTTTGGGTCAGACAAACATCTATGGAATAATAGAGGTCAGATACGTACGTTCTCCTTTCTTTGACAAACTGAGCTGATACCGGTGGTTGGGCCTATGGGCAGGGAAGGGCTTAATGTTTAATTTGGCCTTTGCTCACTCCCTGACTTCCTAGGTTTTGGCTTTTTATTTTTCATATGCCCGATGAAAATACACTTCCCCTTTGTTCTCCTAACAGTTCAACCTGAAGAATACTGATGGTTTCTATGTCATTAAGCTGTCAGATTATTACTGTATCATGAAACCAAAGTGAAAAATATCAGAATGAGAATAATAAGGACATTAGTGACTAAATAACTTTAAAACATTGTAAAATGCAGCCTCTGGGACTTATTTTAGGTATGAGCAGAATATTTTGACAAGTAGAACACTGAGAAACACCACATCTACTACAGATACACTGGATTAGTTTTATAATTTGTTTTAGGCATAAGGAAATCTCAGTACAGACAGTTCCTAACTTAGAATGATTTGACATACAATTTTTCAAATTTATGATGGTATCAAAGTGGTATGCATTCAGGAGAAATTATACTTTGAATTTTGATTTTTTTCCTAGGCTAGTGATATGCAGTACAATGATCTCATGCATGTTGGGCAGCAGCAGCCACAGCCCCATAATCATGAAGACACAGGCATCATAAACATAGCTATGTTTACACACCTAAACTACATGGGATATAGCCTGTTGGTTAGAGGCTACAAACCTGTATTGCATGTTACTATGATGAATATTGTAGGTAGCTGGAACACAATGGTAAGTATTTGTGCATCTAAACATATCCAAACATAGAAAAGGTAAGGAAAAATACCATATTATGATCTTATGGAACCATGGCAGCATATGTGGTCCATAGTTGACCAAAACATTGCTATCTGGAGCATGACTAACTTATGGTTATGTTTATAATGCCTGTTTCTTAATAAAAAGATACTACACATACACATCTAGGGAATCAGTGCTTATAAGGACACTCAAGAGTAAGAAGGCCTCTTCCATGATCAACTACTTTTCCTTCCTTTTAATCAGTTTTAAAAGCCAACTGATTCTATATGTGCAATGTCTTATGTTTCTTCCCAGGTTCCTGATTCAGACCATATTTCTTTCTGGCTTGGATAAGGATGTTTCCTAACCTAATTTTCTTGACTCCAATTTCTCTCCAACTTAGACTTTACAATGCCACTAGACAAGAACCAAAATTACAGGTTTTATTCTTGTTCTCAAAAACTTAGTTGTGCTCTATTGACACTGGAAGTGCAAACTGAATAGTATGACTTTTAAGAGATACCAAAATGTGTTTACAATCTAATTTCCCACCTGTTTATCCATGCTTCAGGCTCACTGTGCACTTTCACACACATGGCCTGTGCTAGACTGTTGTGGTGTTGTAGCTCACAGCAACCTCCAACTCTTGGGCACAAGCGATTCTCTTGCCTCAGCCTCCCAAGTAGTTGGGACTACAGGCGGCTGCCACAACCCCTGGCTATTTTTAGAGATGGGGTCTTACTCTGCCTCAGGCTGGTCTCAAACCTATGAGGTCAGGCAATCCACCCACCTCTCAGAGTGCTAGCATTACAGGCGTGAGCCACTGCGCCCTACTCTGAAGAGCTTGTTTTTGGATTAACCAAGTCTATATGTTAAATTTTCATTCATCAGAATCAAAGAGAAGAGACAAATTTTGCAGCAAGGTCCTATACTAACTACCCACAGTCTCTCACAGTATCAGTTCTTTTGTAAGAATTACATCAATAAGGTATAAAAGTGAACAGGAAAGATAACCTTTCTATAGGTTACTTAATGCAGGCAGCTTGAATTGGCAAAACTTAATGGTAGATTGCTTTAGAAAAAGTCACAGTCTTTATGTTTCCTACAAAGATATATTGAAAGAATAATCCTAAAACTGAAAAGACCTTTGTAATTATGTGGTATAACCAACAAATTACCTAAAAGTAGATATCTAAAGACCAGAGCAATAGAGTGACTTATACATTTATATAGCCATTTCACAGTTTCTGAAACTAAATACTAGTATTTATTGAGGTTTTACCATGTGCTAGGCACTGTGTCTGATCAGCATTAAGTCATTTAATCCTTGCTTCAACTTTTAGTATTTTTAGAATCTCATTTTTACATTTAAGAGTCATCACTAAAATTCTTCCTCTGAATTTCTGTCATTTAAGGACTTTTTGTACCCCTTTTTTATGTGACCTGACTTGGGCATCTAGAAATACTTCTTTTCTATATCTCACCCTAGTACCCAATCTGTAACTTCAGGAAGATTACTCCCATACCTGAAATTAGTTTTAACTCCATCTTCACCAGGGATTTATATACTAACATGAGCTATTTTACATAATTTCTCAGAAATGAGTTTTAGTATAATCTCAGTTTTATATTATTTTATTTCTAATAAGGCACTGATTAAAATGAACTCAGAAAAGGTAGGTATTATAGATAATCACCGCCAAAGACTAAGGACAGTAACACAAAAGCTCAGGATTATTCTCAAAAATGCTGATATGTCAAAGGAGATACTTACCAGCACAAAATTGTTTAATTTTCTTAGAAAAGGGGGTAAGAATAAATGAATTCTAGAATTAAGGAATGAGATAAATACAGATAGTCTTTCCAAAAGTATGGTGGTTAAAATAAAAAGACAGGGTGGCAGCTTAAGGTGTGTGTGTATTTAGTATGGAAAAATGTAACCATGCGTAGCTGAGCAAAGTGGTGTGTGGGGAAAGAGGGATTAGAGACAAAAGTGATAACTCTCAGGGCAAGATCCCAGAGGCATTGTTTTACAAGGTAGCAGGTTCAGAACGACACTTTCAACCACTATCTAGGCTAATTCACTATGCCATGAAAACGGCCCATGTTTTATTAAAATAAAAAAAAACTCAGAATTTTTAAAGAACTGGATATGCCTCTACATAGGACTGTGCTCATTCACTTCTGAATTACTGAAACAGTGTTTCACACATAGGTCAGTGTTAAATCACAAAGAATTCTAAAATAAAGTAATATTTTTATTTTTTTTAAAAGATACTTACTACAGATTGAAAATATTCAGGAGAGAGGCCTTCCAATTCAAGAATTTTATCTTCAAGTTTTTTAATTCGCTGATAAATGTCTCTTGGCACGGGACCACCTTAAATACATTAAAAAACATTTTGAAATACTACTGAATAAATTTTGGGGGGGGGGATCGAGTCTTACTTTGTCACCCTTGGTAGAGTGCCGTGGTGTTACAGCTCACAGCAACCTCGAACTCTCGGGCTTAAGCGATTCTCTTGCCTTTGCCTCCCAAGAAGCTGGGACTATGGGTGCCCATCACAACCCCTGGCTATTTTTAGAGATGGAGTCTTGCTCTGTCTCAGTTTGGTCTCGAACTTGTGAGTTCAGGCAATCTACCCACCTCAGCCTCCCAGAGTGCTAGGAATTCACTAGGCGTGAACCACTGGGCCCAGCCCTGAGTAATTCTTATTACAATTTTTATTTTTAAAATAGCATGCAAAGACACTTATGCAAATGAATGGAAAAGATTTAAACTTAAAATAAAAACAAAAGTAAAAGAGAATGAATTCCTTCTCTCATATTTTCAAATTATACACTATGGGACATACATTACCTTTCTCCAGACCCCATTTAAGCTTCCTATGTTGCTATGAATTTTATGTTAAATTCATTTTACAAAATACTGAACAGTTTTTATACAGAATAATTTGTATTTCTACTAATAGGCTTGACAGTAACAAGGGAGGTTTAAAATTCCATGACTGTGATGTTATATCATTATTTTCCTCAATTTACATTTCTCCCTATATGCCATATTTTTTCCTTTGACCTAGAAGAATGTTAAAAAGGGGCTTCACTGTAATTTTAACTTCATAAATTTTCTGGGGAGTGGTATGGTAATTCAAATTAGCATCAGATTTCAAGTTTCTGAGTACATTCAGAATTCTTTCACTTCTCACCATCTCCACAGTGTGACCCTTCTGGTCCAGATTACCAATATCTCTCCCTGAATTATAACACCCAGTTGGGCTCCCTGTTTCTGCCTTGTCTCCGTAAAGAGTATTCTCAACACATCAGCCAGTGATCCTTTAAAAATGTAAGTCAGAGCACTTACATCATTTCTCTGCTCAAACTCTTTCAATACCTTACCATTTCCTCAGATTAAAAACCAAAGCCTTTATGATGTCCTACAGGGTCCCACACAATATGGACTTTCTCCCCTATATCTGTATTTAATAGTTCTAGCCACTTGATTACTTATTAGAAAGTGAAACAAAATCCTTAGCAATACTAGAGAGCATAAATGGGGCTGGAAAGAGGGGATATATATCCCATATGCACTTCATCAGCTTTAGCAACTATGGTTCCCTCTACCTCCATAATTCCAAGACTTATTTATTCACTCTTGCTAACTCCAGGTCTTGGCTCAAAAGTTACCTTATCATTAAGGACTTCTCTGACTATCCTTTTAAAAATACCAGTAGTACTACTATCTCACCCTACCCAGCAGTCCCTATCCTCCTTAATTTTTTCCATTTTCTTTCTACCACCCAACATTCTGTATACACATATTTCGTTTATTTACTGTCTGTCTCCGCACTCTAATGTAAGTTCCAAGTGAAGAGAGTTTTATTCGCTTTGCTCATGGGGTATGGCTGTGTAGCTTGCACACTGCACAAAACCAGGAAGCATCAGTTCATAAACTACAATGGCTGGCACAGAGCAGGTGCTGAATATTTACTGATTAAATGAAAACATGATTAGACAATCATTATGCAATTAAAGAATTATGTGTGAAATTTTATATTAAAAGTATCGACTTGTTGGCTTGGCACCTGTGGCTCAAGTGGCTAAGGCAGGGTTCTCAAACTTTTTAAACAGGGGGCCAGTTCACTATCTCTCAGACCTTTGGAGGGCCAGACTGCAGGCCCTGGGACAAGCTGGCTGCTAAGTAGGACAGGCAGCGGCAGCAAAAACACCCGGCGGGCCGGATAAATGTCTTAGGTGGGTCACATGTGGCCCGAGAGCCATACTGGGCTAAGGCACCAGGCACATACACCTGAGCTGGTGGGTTTGAATCCAGCCTAGGCCCGCCAAACAACAATGATGGCTGCAACCAAAAAACAGCCGGGTGTTCTAGCAGGCGCCTGTAGTCCCAGCAACTTGGGAGGTGGAGGCAGGAGAATTGCTTGAACCCAGGAGTTGAAGGTTGCTGTGAGCTGTGATGTCACAGCACTCTATTCAGGGCAACAGCCTGAGACTCTGTCTCAAAAAAAAAAAAAAAGAGTATCAACTTGTTAAATATAAAAACTCTAAATTTTTTTTTTTTTTGAGAATGTGTTCATCTTAGGACCTTGATTGTTCTTGCTGTTGAATAAAGTGAAATGATTCACTTATTTATCTGACTTTGCTCTTGGTACTCCCTTTACTATCTATAATGCCCTCTGCTTTACCACTGTACCTTTCTAAGCTGGTTCGGGTCCATGCCAGAACCTTTTCACATGGCGGCTCCAACATTCCCTTCTTCATTGCCCCCTAACAGTTCTACTTTACTATAAATCTCCCATTCTTCTAGATGATAAAGTCCCAGAAGCTGGAGAATCTAACTACATCTTAGTATTCCTTGTGCCTAAAATAGTGCTTGGCACATAGTAAGCATTCAACAGATATTTTTCCAAAAATTAATTACTTAATAAAACAAAAACAAAACAAAAATAAATTACTTGGTACTATTAGAGACTTAAGCAGTCAGTCTTTTATATAGATGCATTTTAAATCCATCTACTTCTGAGGGAGGAGAGTAACACTTCATGCTAATGGTTTATTACCCTCAAATGTTTACTCATTCTCTTACCTTCTTCTACTTCCATCTAGCATATACTCTAGGCTAGACTAGACTCTGAAATTCTCTAAACCATATTTTTTGTCCCTTTCCTTTTGGTAAATGCTGTTCCCTCTTTATGGAATGCTTTGATCCAGGAAAATTCCTACTAATCTTTCAAGGGTTCAAATGTCACCTCTGCAGGGATGCCATCTCTTGACTTCCCCTGAGAGAGTCAAACACTAACTTTGTGTCCACTGTACTGTGCACATATCTAAAAAGGTGAAAGAGAAATTGCCTATTCAATAAACATTTGAGTACTTGCTTTAAGCCAGGAGCTATACTAGATAGAAAGTAATGAGTACGACAGACATAGTTCCATTCTTACAGACCTTACTGTCTTGCAAGGGAGACAGAAATTAAACAGAATCATAACTGCTTTAAAGGAGGGCTGGGAGTACAAGGTGCTATGAGACTATATAAAAGGGAAACCTGCACTGGTCTGGAATCAGGAAGGAAAAGCACAGACAGAAAGAAGAACATGAGATTGCAGGGTAGCAAAATCAGTGGGAGATGAGAAGCCCAGAGATGTGGCTGGAACTACAGGCATAGACCATACTATTTAAAATTACAACCCACACTTGATTCCAATCTCTGTATTTTTAGCTAGGGAGGAAGATCAGATTCAGCTTTAGAAAAAGCAATTTGGTCACAGAGTAGACAAAGACCTAGAAGGAGAAGTTTAATGGCAAACAGATTAGTTAATATCCTTCCATTAGTCCAAGGCAGAGTCAGAGTGGCTTCAACTATTGTAGTAGCAATGGAGATAGAAGTGGGTAGATTTGAGAGGCATTTAGAAGGCAGCATCAATAGGACATGATGACTAAATGGGGAGGGAGACTCAGGTTCTGCAGCTAGTTAAGATCTGGGATCGATTTCCAGTTGGCACTTAACTATCCTGGGAATATTGCTTGAACTCTTTGAACTTCAGTTTCTTTATCTGTATAATGATAACAGCACTATACCTCAAAAGAGTATTGTTCAACATTAAGTGAGCTGATATGTGTGTAACAATTTTAGTGACTGGCACTTACTATAGTTCAATAAATGTTAGTTCGCTTCCCCTACATTTATGTTTATATGTTTATTCTCACTGACACTTGAGAACTAGGACATTTAATTAACACTTTGTACCTAGCATAATATGTGATAAGAATGAGAGGTGGTCATTATAAGTTATCGAATGGGGGACAGGCAAAGATGACTAGTTTTCATCTGTGACTTCAATAAACTGAGTTTTATTGGGATCTATTTAGAACCTGTACCCATTCTACTAGGACTCTCTCAATTTTAGAAAGTGAAGAAGTATAAAAGAAGGGAGAACACAGACAAAAAGAACTATAAATTCCTTGAGGAGGGACCATACTTTATTTTTGTACCAGCATACATAACAGGTACTCAATGAAACTCTGGCAACTAAATGAACTGTTTTTTTTTTTTTTTTTTTTTGTAGAGACAGAGTTTCACTTTATCACCCCCAGTAGAGTGCCGTGGCATCACACTGCTCATAGCAACCTCCAACTCCTGGGCTTACGCGATTCTCTTGCCTCAAGCCTCCCAAGTAGCTGGGACTACAGGAACCTGCCACAAGCCCAGCTGAATTGGAATTTTTTAACCACTTGCAAAGGTACCTTATGGAACACCACCTGGCACTGGTTTACCTGTCTGTAATCGCAAGTGAGCCTCAATATTCTGCAGCCGTTCTTCTACGGCCTGATTCCCACAATCTCGAAGTATGTTGTTAGGTTTATGAACGGATCCTTGAATTCCTTCTGATCTAGTCTGTGGTCCATATGTATTCACAACTCTAGAAACTAAATTAAGAAGCTTTTGAGCCTAAATTTGTATTTTAAAATCAGCAATTGTCTCTCTCTAATACAGGCAGTCCCTGGTTATGAACAAGATACAGTCTATAGGTTTGTGCTTAAGGTGAATTTGTAAGTTGGAACAGGTACATTTACCTATTACTTATAATAGCTTCCATTTGTAAGTATGAGTTGTACATCAGTCAGAGTTTTGTAACTCGGGGACTGCCTGTGGTATTTTATAATCTTTTCATAAAGACCATCTAACTATGAACCCAAACATAAAGGAGGCAAAATTTTTTGTTTTGTTTTAAAATAAAATTTAGATGGGAAAGTTATTTCTATTCCATTTTGCTAGAATAAACTATTAGTGACTCAGATATGTGGTGGTTACTTACCCTTAACGTGACTTTTAAATCCAGGATAAGGGGTAAAAACGGCATCAGTTCTTGCACAACTATTTTCTAAGGAGAATTTAGGCAAATATAAGTTTATATTCTTCACTTGAAATGTATGCGATTTTGATAAACTTCCAACAATTCATATTACACATTAATCATAAGAAAATTTTAAATAATGAGCAATAATCATTAAATCACCATCATAAGAGCTGAGTTACCTTTACCCTCTAAAATGTATCATAATACCTAATATTCTCATCTAATGTTCAGATTTACATACAGAAAAAGTGTATGTAAATGGTTTTACATACCATTAAGTAGCATAACAACGTAATTTTTGATGAAAACCACTATCTCTAAAACCATTGGGCCTTTGGAGAAAATAACATATATTATAGAGTATTTTAATTCTACTTCACCATAGAAATAGAATCCATTTTTACTAAAATATCTTTTTTAAAAAACAGCCTTTTTTCTACTACTGACAGAATTAGTGAACACCCAATAAAAAGGATTAATTGTATATAAAACACCTTTTTATTTCAAAACTTTACACAAAGACCTTGAAAGTCAAAGTACACATACCTTTCCACTCTACCTAGATTTCCAGTGCTTATTTTAAAAGTTCCTAATCACAAGTCATCTACTTCCTCCCATCCTACCACTTTCAAGAAATGCAATTTTAGAACAGATAATGCTGTAAAATTTTGCTTCTATTTATTTCCAAGCTGAAAAGTAATCAACAAATAAATTACAAAAGGAGAAATCTGTAAAGATATTAACATATACTAGTGTTTTATACATATATGTTATATATTAACATAGTAACATATGACAGACTATAGTAATAATAACATACTACTGTTTGAAATCACATTTGTAAAACCATGCATTGGCAGTAAATTTCCTGGAAAATTCCCTTGGTTATTTTGTAAAAAATGGAAAGTGAGATACTGAAAAAAAATTCCTTTTTTCCCTATGGAATCCGATTTCCAAAAAAATCTACTGTTTAAATGATAACACATTAAAATACATTTATATTTCTTTCAGCCTGTTTCCTTAGTAGCTCTGCCAATAAGCTGAGTGAATAAAATTCCAAATACACTTATCTTTTATATGTAGAGACTAAACAGAGAGTAATTTTTTTTTTCCTGGAGATACCTTAAAATATGCTTAAAGGGTCATCACTTCTCCATTCTCTTTCTACCATTTCTTGGGGTTAAGGATTAAAAAAAGAAGCTATCATCCATTGCAGAGCTATATGCCAAACATATAGATTAACTGACCCATCAGTGAGAAATTCAGCATGGTGTGAAGATAGGAAATGTGTGAGTGCTAGTCACTCTCCACAGCAATTCTTGCTAGCACTGTTTTGAGCCAGCAAGGGATTGAATGGGCCAAGGAATCCTGCTGAGCATTTCAATTCTTGTCAATTTCTATCCCCTGGTGGCTTATAATAATAGAGTTAGCAAGGAGAACAGAGGAATAACATTAGTGACACATGTGCTTGCTCCCTCAACAAACCCTTTCTCATGGGTTGCTTGCAGCTGGATTATAGTACCTGAGATTTCTGCATCCGTTGCACTTATTCTGAAAACCTTAACAGGAAAATATACCAGGTTCAAAGATGTACATGTATAATGTTAACAGTAGCACCCATGTGAACTCAGGACCCAATCATAGCCTTTGTTACTTCATTATTAAGAGAATCAGTGTGTAAATCTGATACAAGTAACTGCTAGGTTCATCTCACAATTCTGTGTTCATAATTAGCCATGAGATATTAGAGGCACCAAGAAAAATGTTCATTCCAATTATGAAACTCTTCTCGATAATTTTTTCTAAGAACTACTTGTTCTGATTATTACTATGATGCCTGAGTATGATCTATGGCAGTAGTTTGCAGTATTTTGTATTCTGCAGCATACCTGTAGATCTGTAAATGTACTACTACCAAGTGGAGAGGGAAAGAAGAATCTGGAGGAAAACAGTACATGTATGCATTATGAGAGAAAGGGAAAAAGCCTGAGATGCCACGGTCTTTGTGGCAAATTGGTTGCACCCTGAGATAAAATGTTTCAAATAGATCAGGAGTAGTGAGAAAACTGCTCCCTCTGGAGGAATAATTAACTTTACTAAGTTTACTTTATATATTAACATCTTAATTTGATAAGTACATTAACAGGTTTGGAATTGGTACAGCTCAGTTCCTTAAACTAGTGACTGTGCAGCACTGCGACCCACACTTCCCCTTCATTTCCTAAAGGAATTTTAATATAATCTTTTCACCTGGAATAAACATTAGTTTTTTTGTGTTAGCATTTGATTTATGTTAACTAAAATGAAAACCAGTTTTGTAATATAGTCTATTATTAAAAAGAAGGAAATTCTACTGCCTTAGTTATTAACTAAATCTGTGAAATAAACTGTGTTTTTAATGTTATTCATTTTAAAAAATAAATGAAAGATTAGGGTGGATTTCTCCCTAGTCAGGAATCTCACCCCACCTGCATTCCAGGTGGAATAAAAGCCACTTTGATTGCACGAGAAAATAAAATAAAAAAGATTAGAACTGTAAAAATTGTGCTTAAAATCCTATGAAAATTAACTTCTAGGTAGTTACCTTGATTACAATCAATAACATTGCAAAATTCCCTGACGTTGTTTTCATTGATTTCAGCTTGCTTTCTTTCAATAAACGCAGATATTCGTCTGTCAATCTACAAACAATAAGTATGTTTTAACAATGTAAATAAAGTGAAAAAAAATTTTTTTAAGTAATACCCTCCTACTTCCCACCCTCCCAAACGTCTTACTTCTGCTTTTCCAGCTTTTATTTGAACTACTTCTGGATCAAAATGGATCTGTGTCTTTTTCACATCTCCTAAATCACAATCTTTGTGCTTTTCTTCCTCTTGCAGGGTGCCGATGGAAAATTTGGCATTTATTTCACTCTTGCTCCCCATTTCTGTTTTTCCTATGTCTTCAATAGCAGTTGTATTCTCCTCTTTAATCAAAGGTTGAAGTTTTGCTAAAAAAGGCTGAGAAGAACACAATTCCATCTGCTGAGGTTCACACTAACCAAAATTAATTGTGTAATTAATTTAATATATTTACATAAATTTCTGCTAAGTAAATGAAAATATTTAATATCATTACTAAATATTTAAAAAGTTGCTACATCAGAATACATACATCTGACCACCTCTGTTATACTGACCATTAACATATGCTATAAATTTGGTTTTTAAAAAAGAAGGAAAGAAAACCTGAGGAAATTTAAAATTTTCTTTCAGAGAATCATTCTGTCACTCATCTTTTATTTTGTGCCAAATCAAAGCCTTCAGCCTCTGGCACCAATGCCACTTAATTAACATGTCATTCAAATGCCTCCTCAGAACACTAAGGCTTAGTATTTTTCCTCCTTCACATGAGAGCCAGTGCTCTCACTCAGTAAAGCCCTGCATTATCACTATATCACTGGAGATTCTCCACTTGAAACTGCAGTTGGCCAATGTGAATCAGAGAGCACAGACATGAAATATATAGGTGTTATGCTGAGTGAACACTCAGACTTTTCCTGACACGGCAAAATATCTCCTTGGGTCATGAAATTAAATTTTAAAGCAGAAAATGGACAGATAAGAAAAAAACCCTACCATGATCCATGGCTGAAAACAGATAAATGTCCTATCACTATATTAGAGGGGGGAAATACCCTTTTGTTTAAGTTATATTGTCCGTTTACTGTCTTCCCTCTCCCATAAATGAGGCCTCATTCTAGTTTTACATATCAATATTCTGCCCTTTAAAACCCAAGTTAGCTATTACTTTTAACATGAAGCACAGAGTTGAATTTTCCCACAATGTCACTGAATGGAGGGGTGAACATTAATGCCTCTTCCATTAGTTAAAAATTACTACTATTTATTAATGTTCCAATTATTTTTTCATACCATAATTTTGTTTCCATTATTTCCTATACCAAATACTGTTCTAAAACCCAAGGACATGTTAATCAGAGTAAACTGACCACCTACACAGTTCTTTTACTTATCTTCTTGACACTTTACATTTTACACTTTGATTAGAGATAAACTACGAACTTACATCAATTTTAATGACAGAGATGTTCAATTAGAAACCAGCAAGTTCATAAAACTGTTGTTACTGAACTAAAATATTAAAAATACTTCATAAATAACAATTCAATATTGACTTATATAAAGAGGGAATTATCTTCAACTGTTAAAATAGTGACTGGCTACTAAGATGAGACATTAATGTCACAGAAATTACTTTCTTTTTTAAAACTATGCTGAAACTGTTTAATTGCAATAGACACTCCAGGATGTGTCATGCTGGGATAATGCCACTTCTTGAACCACTGAAAGCACTCCATGAGCCTCCAAACTCACCCAAGGCATGGAATCATTATCATAGCATGACACACACCTGCCGTGTCTTATTGCTTAATTATAACCCACCATAGATGGAACTGTATCGAATTTTCAGTGCAAGTTTAGAAATGAATAGAGTTGCATTTGTTCAATCTCATACCCACATTGGTCATTGGGTTATATTCCAATACTGTTCTGATCACTACTGAAATTAACCGATTTAGAGCCAATTTGTATGTAAGTAACCTTTTATTAGTAACACTATTAATATAGTGTTAAGATAGAAATGACTCCAGCAAAGTTAACCACAATTAATTTCTACTTTCAATAGTGAGTTAGCATTTCTAACAAGAAATTTACCTGTAAATATAAAATGTGTTGCTCAAGTGCACTAAAAAGCAATGCAGGCTGGAATGCTGAGAGGCTCTGGAGCTTGTTCCAATCGATTGTCATTTTCACCACATCATCTCTGAGGCTCAGCTTCAAAGGGGCAAACCAGTAACATCACAAAAATTACAAGATTAAACTGTACGTATGGGATTGTCACAAAATAAGATCTCTATGGAGTAACATATCTATTTTGCTCAAAGTTATCAAGTTTTTAATGTTAACATTAAAATGCTTTCCCCATTACCATTTTACAAGGCCAAAGAAGGTTACATACTTTCATTAAAAATGACAACAAAATGACATCTCCCTCTGATTCTATTCTTGGGTCTGTGTAATGGGACCATTTTAGAAGAGATACTACCCGCGAAAGATGAAAAGATGAGGGCTCTTTTGATACTTTGATATCTAAAAACCTTTGGATGGGGTCCAAAATAGGCTTGCTCTATTCAGATTCCTACTATTTCTAGCTCAGAGCATTAAACAGAGGAAGCACAATCATTTTGCAAAAGTTCTAATATGAACACTTCTCTTTATTCAATATGTACACAAATACACATCAGAAGTATGTCATTATTCTGATGTCCTCCAAATCACATTTTTATTATTTTCAACTTTAACCAATTTTTAAAATAATTTAAAAATCAAGATTATTCATACATATGAAGTCTGGAGATAAATGACAACATATTTATCTACTTCAAATAAAAAACACAGACTTCTCCACAACAGTGAAAAAACGGCCAGAAACTGGGTGCAATGTCCAGATCTTTTATTAAATACTATTTCTAGTAAGATATAGGACTCATCATATGAAAAATTCTTATCAGTTGGTGATACACTAGAATAAAACCATACCCAGAAAACTACCAAAAATCTGAGTATAAATATTAAAATCAGTGAAAATTTTAGAGAGCCTCCATCTGCAGTTTTTGAGTGAATAAAAGTAAACTACCATAAACTTTTTTAGGGACATATATTTATATAGCACAGCATAAGGATATAGTCCACAGTAGAATCCTGTTAACTGTAATTTTTCAGAAATAATTTGTTAAAAATTATGTTTTCTACAAAGTAAAGTCCTGAGTTCAAAGACAGATTTTTTTAAGTTGTAATTATAATAAAACAAAAGATAAATCACTATACAAGGTTCAAAGATCTAAAATTACAAAAGAAAACCAACTGCGATATGTTGAATAAATATTATGTGGTAGAATTTTGCCACCCTTGAACACCAGGGCAGAAGCATTTAAAGTCCATATTGGATAAATATAAAGAAATATGAAATCTTATGTAGGCTATGTAGGCTGTTCTGGCAAAGATTAGTTTATATTAATTTAAGATTGTACATAAAGATTAATGCATTAACCTTAATTTATATTACTTTAATACCTATGAAGATTTTGTTAGACAACTTATATATGGAAGTAACCCATTATTATACTTTTATAGTTTTCAATGAGATCTATAATTGATTATAGCAAATTTATGAATATGGTTTGAGGATAAAGCAGGCAAATCCTCAACTTAAGCAAAGCATCACATTTTCTAGAGAAAATAATAGAAAATAGGTGTTAATGTTCGAGCATATTCTCCATTTCAATTTAGTGGAACTATTAATTACAAATGCAATTAAGAATACTTGGTCTTTTAAGTATAGTTCTTTTAAGAAAATCACATAAGAATGTCACAAATTAATTTTAAAACTATCCCAATACATTAAACTAATCATTCCACAAATTCCATATTAGTAATATGAATTCTATGTATTTTTCTTCTATAGGACTTGGAATAGTAAATAATTCACTAAAAAATCTCTCGTAGTCTATTATTATAATTATTTTCAGTAAAAATAAAAAAACTCTAGTAGTCTATTATTATAATTATTTTCAGTAAAAACTGTAAAATTAATACAAAATTTACTAAAAATAAATCTTTAGTTTGGTAAAATGAGCCATCCAGAGGCAAGTAAAAAAGGTTTAAATTAGTAAGTTTTGTGAGCTGAAGTAGACAATGCTTTTAAATACTCAACTTTATGTTTCGTATTCAAGAGTGCTAATAATACAATGAAGTTAGGATGATGCAGGATGAACTTAGGCATATTGTAACATACATTTTAAAAATCCTTTAAATTTGGTGCAAAAGCGAATAGCGATCCCCTGGGGACAACATTATGAGCATGGTACTCCACCTTTCATTCTTAATACTTTTCAAAAGACTGAGTGTCATCAAAATAGTAAGCGTTTAATTGATAAGACAATCTTATTTTTGACACTTTGTATATATAGTGTACACAAGATCCCTTTACTGTGTCTAGGTAAACTCACCAAACATTTACCCTAAACATTTTTGACAGGTGACTAAGTAAATTTTAATCACTCCTCTATCTATACCTTTTGCTAAAGGTACCTGAATGTTTAAATTTTTTAAATGAGTTTGAAAAAGACAGCATGCAAAATATTTCAGAAGAAATGTTTAAATCATTCTTCAACTTTATTTTTGAAAATATTCCATCACTGAAAAATAAGCCTTTGTAAATAATAGGTGAGCATAAACCTTTTTCAACGTAATATTAGAATATAAGTAAAATTTAAAGCTCCAACATTGCCATAAAAAGTTCTTTAACTTTTAAACCATTCAAAGGTCTTGGATGTTAAGACTGAACTGTTAATAACAGAAGTCTCCAAGTCTGTAAAAAAATTTTTTTTCTTGATAAGTCCTTGGCAAAAAACTGAGTTTAAAAGTTGTTATCTTTCAGGAGATTCTGTAAATTGCTTCATTACACAAAACTGATTAAGTATTGCAGTACTGTTCTTTGTAAGTCACAATGAACAAGCGAAGATCTTTTAAGATATTAAAATAACTTTTTAAAAGACTGATTCTTCACTCAAGGCTTTGAAAAATGATTTTCACAAACTATTTTCCATGGAATTTAACATTATCTTTGACATAAATGCCTGCTGTGTCTCCTACCAGCACAAAAATAAACTTTCATAGCTAGAAAATGGTTCATATAACATGTAAAAGAAAATAATTCCTTTTAATCAGCAGTTTAACACACATACTTTTAAGTTTTCTCATTTAAAATTTGTTTATTTTTCACCATGAAACGAAGTAATAACTTGGTAGAATAGAGTGTAAGGAGCCTGTTTTTTAAAAACCAAGTTTACTATGACATTTCTGCAAAAGCGATTTATCTGCCAGTTAAAATAGTTAATAGTTAAACACCTAGTTAAGCGACGGTTCTAATGCAAACAGCATCAACCATGGACAACTTCATCCAACTTTACGCTATTTCTAATGAATTCCTTTTACTTTCCTTCCTGTTTGAAAGGGTAACAGATGCACACAACCGCCAGAGGGAAAAAACAACCAAAATTAAGTGCCTCATTAAGAGCAAGTTACCCTAATAAGCCGAAAGTTTCCAAAAACTCAGGCCGTACTGCCCAACCAATTCTGATAATGAATAAGTGGAAGGAGAAAGGACCCTGAGCGCTAGGCGCCTCCTAAAGCCTCAGCCAAGTTTTTTCGCATTCATTCTCTCCAAGCCCGTTCCTCGCGGACCCCGGTCCTCTCTAGTTTACCCCATCCTCATTCCAGGGGAGAACAGATGCAGGGTAATCTAGTCTGCAACCCACACTGAATTAAGCCTTCACGGCGGGACCCCTCACTCCGACGCAAGGCGGCTGGGCCCCGGCTTGAACCAGGGCTGCGTCCCACATTCAGGCAGGCCTCGGCTGCCCCCCGCCTCTGCTAGAGAAAAAGAAGGGGGGAGGGGCGCGATGGTTCCCCTGCCTTCAGTCCCTCAGGGCACCTCTCACCTTTTCAGCCAGGGCGTGCAAGGAGCGAAAGACTTCGCAAAGCACCTCTTGGGAGAGGTTGGGGCTACAGCTTCGCTCCAACATACTGTCATCGCTCCTCGGGCAACTAAGCTCTGTGACAGCAGCCATGGTACCTTCGCAGGCCGCTCCACCACCACCACCAAGGTTCGCATTCGACCCCACCCCCTCCCTCTCCTGCTTTCGTCGCTCAGCGATGACGTAAAACAGCGTCTAGTTCAGATCCGGGCCTTAAGACCCCACCCACTCGATGTGACTGATAGGCACGTACACCAATCACAGGTGCAACTCCGCATTGCGTCGTGCATTTGTAGCGGGTCTTCGCTGACTAGCGCAGTGCTGGTTCTGTTTTGAGGGTGTTGATTGGAGTCGTGGTGTTTTAAGGGTTAGCGTCACAAAGCCTACCTTGACTCTTAGATGTTCCTTATATGTGTTGGTAAGAAGACATTTGTAGTTAAATCGTAGAGTTTGAGCCTTAAAAGTTGAAATTTTAACGTGGTTTGGCGTGGGTCTAGAGAAAGACTACTAGTCAGGGATGGAGCGATACCGACGCGTGTTTCTAAACATTGGAAAATTCATAGAGAATTGCCATAAGCAAAACGTTTTAATCTCTTCAAGGTTGTTTAAAACGTATATAAATTAACGCTACTAATTTTCCGTGCGGGGGAGGGCAGATGTAAAAGAACAATGAAAGTGCCCCAGTATGCCTCATTTTAATATCAAGGGAATTACAATCATGATCTTAAGTCTGTAAAATAATTTATGTCAAGTTTTAAAATGTGCATCAATTGCCGTTCTCTGGGTGATAACTGTAAAGATGCTCAACCCTAAAATTATTTCGAAGAAGTGAAACACTGTTGATATAATTCCAGCAGGAATTTGACCCAAATAACTAATATCATAGAACCACAATCTTTGAAATTAGGAAAAAGACATAAAATTGAACTGGAATTTGACAAAGTATTATCCTACAGCTTTATTATAAAGATGTTCAGAGGACTTTGTAATATTTTAGTCAGACTTTAATGTTTTAAAAATTTATGCAATTGAAAAAACAAGTTTAAGGAGAATTTTTAGTGTTAAGCTCTGTTCAAAAATACTTTTAAAAATATACATTATCTGTTTAAAGATAAGAGACGAGATTTCAAGCTCTAAATTCTAATAGTCTAATGCAATTGCATTAAAGAAAGTAAAGGTGGAAATTGGTGTAACATGTATTCTTTAGTTTTAGAGTAGACTGAATAAAAGGGAAAGAATAAGGCGTCAAGGAATTGAGATAAGGACGGTAGAAATAAAAGAACTACTTTGACCAGTCCCTAGGGAGTCTCTTAATTAGGTTTTCATTTCCAAAGACATGTGGATCACCAAGCTTGACAGGATCTTGAAAAATCTTTCCTGTTCTCTTATTAGCAGCAGGATATACAAGTCCAGCCTATGTCTAGAGAAAAAGACTTCACAATATCCAATTCCAAATCCAGAAACCTCATTCAAGCCACTCATCTTCATAGCTAACCTAAATTAGTGATTCTTTGCAATGCTAGCATATTTTCTTTGCATCTGGTTCTCTTGTTGATGGGCAGTCATTGTAATGGGGTAACTAGAAGTTTTAGTCTGTATCAAATTAGCAATCAGTTTCAGAACATAACGTTTTCATCTGGGTCTCAAGTACTTTTTTCAAATATGCAGTCTACTGATACGCAACATATTGGTGAATATGCTTTACACCTTAAAAAAATACTGTCTTTAGCAAGGTGCCGCTCATTTTTTATGAAATTTCAAGTTTTACTTCAATCCGTAATAAAGAATTAATTAACTGATATCCATTTGATTTATATGATAGTTCTCTATGCAATTCTGAGATTCAATATCCAGACTTGTAATCTTAGTATTCCTTACTTAGGTATAGGTTGAATATTCCTAATCTGAAAATGTGAAACCAAAATGCTTCAAATTCCAAACAGATTTGAGCTCCAGTACCACTAGTGCAAAATTTCATATCTGACCCACATGATAGGTCACGGTCAACACACAGTTAAAACTTTGTTCAAAGCTGGGTGTAGTGGTTCATGGCTGTAATCCTAGCACTCTGGGAGGCTGAGGCGGGTGGATTGCTTAAGCTCAGGAATTCAGAGACCAGCCTGAGCAAAAGTGAGATCCCGTCTCTACTAAAAAAATAGAAAAAACTAGTTGGGTGTGGTGGCGCACACCTATAGTCCCAGCTACTCAGGAGGCTGAGGCAAGAGGATCTCTTGAGCCCAAGAGTTTGAGGTAGCTGTGAGTTCTGATGCCATGGCACTCGACCCCAGAACAATGGAGTGAGACTCTGTCTTAAAAAAAAAAAAAAAACAAAAAACAAAAAACTTTGTTCCATTATTGAAATATTATATAAAGTTATCTTCTACTCAATGGGTATAAGATGTATGTGAAATATAAATGAATTTCTTGTTTAGAGTTGGGTACCATTCCCATGATATCTCATTATGTATATGCAAATATTCCAAAATCCCTCCCCCAAAAATGAAATCTGAAACACTTCTCTAAGCTTTATGGATCAGGGTTACTCTTCTTGTAATACTTAGAATTTATTAACTCTTTTGCACATTATTTCTTCTAAGGATCTTTCTGCTCTCTCCCTGATGCCTATTCCCTTCATTTTGGAAAGTTTTCTCTTTTTCTTCTATAATAGAAAATCTTGTTTTAAATAGAAGCGTTGGTAGGCTGAAAAGATGTGGATTCCTTTGAGCTAACTCCAAATAGAAATTTATAGATATTGTATGTATGTATATATTTAACAAAAATATAATAAAAGCTATGAAATTTAGAAAAGCAATAAAGGAAATAATTTACCCTTTATAGAAACTAATTACAGTTTATGAAGTGGGTTGCTGAAAAATCTGCTGCTTGGCAGAAATTATTCAAAGTGTTGGTGTTGGCATTAGCAACAGAGTTAGAAATACTGCCCTACAGGCTTATATGAAGAATTAACTGGGAGGATAGAAACCATTAATAAAATCACAGCTATCTACCTTAGGATAGTGTAAAGGGATACTGAAAATATTTATGATGAACTTTAATGGCACAACTCTATTAAATACTCCAGTGGTCAGCAAAATGCCTGAGGTATTGTATGTGCTCAGCTGAGGTTTGTTACATGTGTGATAATACAAATTTTTCGTAATATAGAACAGGAAAAATAGATTGATTTGTCATATCTGGCTCCTTACGACCTAGTACCTAAGTTTCAGTTCCTTGAAATGACATTTAAAGCTCTTCTCATGATTTCGCCTTTACCTAAATGTCCACTCTCTTCTGCCACTCTTCTGGTGCTTAATGCTCCTAGAAGTGCTTTTATTTCTTCAAAACTTTATTATGTCTTGTCTCCAAGCTTTTGCATATGCCTTCTGTTTCTGGACTGCTTGGAAAACTCCTTTACATCTTCAAACTCCAGTTAGAAAAGTCAAAAGACTTTTCTCAAAGTCTTTCCTCATATCCTTCCTCACAAAAAAAATTTAAAGAGCTTCTTTTCTCCTCTGCTGAACTACTCCTACAACTTGATATACTTTTCCTACAATGGATCCCATCATTCTGCTTCCTATTAGCAAGGAGCTTAGCAGTGTGATCAAGCCCAAGGACATGAGTATACCAGTCTAAAACTCACATTTTTTGAGGACTTATTTACTGAGACTCCTTGACCAATTTCTGTGTCATTCAAGTTTTAGTCAGGAAACAGAAACCTTATCTGTTATTTAAATAGAGAAAAGTTAATTTAAGCATTCTTAATTAGAATATGGTATCAGGTCATTGAAAAGGCAATGAGAAAATAATAAAATATTATACAAATGTGTAACAGGAAACAATAAGGTATCAGGAAGAAGCTAACCTCTTTAGGGCTAGAGGAACAAAAGGAAGAGTTTAGAATTATTAAAATTTAGGAGATGAGAGGAACCAGCCCTGTGTTTTCCTGTAGAATAGGGAGTACTGTTCTGCTGGGTTGATGTCTTAAGGTGAGTATGAGTTGGCAAGTATTGAAATCTGCAGATAGAGCATTTAAGCATTTTAGGACAACATTATTCAGTCTGAGATAGTGTAATAGGAATCCTGAAAGGAGAATAAAGAGAGAATGGGGCAAAGAGATATTTCAAGAGATGATGCCAAGAATTTCAAAAAATAATGCAAGACAGAAACCTACAAATCCAAGAAGCTTGGAGAACCTCAATATTAGGTACATACTGCTGTGTAACACAACTCAGTGGCTTCAAACAGTAATAGTTTGTTATCTCATAATTTCTGTGGGTGAGTAATTCAGGAGTGGCTTCGCTTGGTGTTCTGTCACCAACTCTGGAGAAACCCAGAAAGACATTAGCCACAAATACATTTTAGGACCTAGTCTCTCAAATCACATTGTACCTTTCTTCTGATTTTATTTATTAGAGCCAAGTAACTATGTCTGGCCAATACTCAATGGATAGGAAATTAGACTCCATATCTCCATTTCAAAAATGAAGGCAAAATAAAGATTTTTAGAAGCAAACAAAACTAATGTAATTCATTACCAGTATAACTGCATTATAAGAAATGTTGAGAAAGTTTTTCAGGCAAAAGGACTATGATACCAGAAAGAAACTTGTATCCACATAATGAAATGAAGGTCTGAAGAAATGGTTAAAGTAACATGTATAAGATACTTTTTCCTTATTTTTATTTGCCCTAAAGATAATTGAGTATCTAAGGCAAACAGTGACAAATTATTGTGGGTGTTTAGTATGTGCAAAGGAATGTGTGATGTGATAACATAGCACAAAAATTGGGAGGGAGGAATAGTAAGTACCTAGTTGTACTTGCAACTATGAAGCAACATAATATTTGAAGGTAGACTGATAAAGATATATATTATAAACTATAGGGTAAATAAAAAATATTTTAAATGAGGTATAAATTAATAATGGAAAAAGAATCATAAAAATCCTTAGTTAATTAAAAAAAAAAACCCACAAAAAAGTAGAAACAAAAGAGATGGACACATAGAAAAGGTAATAGATTGTGATCCAACCATATCAATAAATTGTCTAAATGCAGAGATTGACAAATTGCATTAAAATTAAGCTCTAACTATATGCTCACTATATAAACCCACTTTAAATGTAAAGAGATAAGTTGAAAGTAAAAATATGGAAAAAGATATGCCATGCAA